GGGACCAGAACAATTGCACATAATATGGAAGGCCTGTATGCAGGATTACAAATAAAGCAGCTTTGTATGCCTCTCAAAGTACCTTTATCTTGAAACTACCTTTACCACGGGAAAATCCCCTAACTATTCCAGGAAGGTGGTAATGAAGTACGTATAAGGGATGTATCCCATCGTCTTAATAGTATGCAATCGCGCATTTTCACTAATCCGGTCAAGCCTAGGTCATTAACAAACCATTTACTGCCATCGCAAAGTACCCGCTTTCGCCAATATTATGGATTGCTTTGTGTATGTATTATCATACTCTAATAGGATGCCAAGAAATGGAGCTTAATGTCAATGAAAAAAATAAAAATGAAAAAGCACCTACATAGCGAAAAACTTCATCTACGAGACCTGAAACAACTTGGAACAATACAACATTATATGTGAAATCCTTTTAATTCCCACGCTACTGGAGAGAAAGCATTTTGGCACTGTGACCATACATTTTTTGAAAATGAGATGTCTCGTGGATGTAATATGGCAAAAAATCTAATATGTGTGACGTTGCCATACCGTGGCTGATACGTTTGGATGTAATGTAGAATGATAATTTACAAAAAAAATGACTAATTGATTGATCTACTTTGATCAGATTAAACAAGGCGAAAGAAAGAAATTTTCCAACTCGATTTTTTTTTTGTCGTAATTGCGTATATTGAATATCCCTTAACATGAAACAAAGAGTAGCAGCAATCCTAGAAATGGGTATATTCGGTGCTTAAAAACTCGGTAAACTTGAATAAATTGCGACTGGTCAATTAGCTTTTAGAGCTACAATAGCGAAATTATATTTGGCGTTCCTTATAGATTTCGAACAACGGGTTAAAAAACTTCATTTTAAGTTGCTAAAGGTGGCAAAGAAGGACATGAAATGTTGAAAACAGTATATGGCGATCATGTCGTGATTCTGGAGACTGTTAATTAGTGGTATGAGCAATTAAAAAGCATGAAATGTATCGGGTAAAAAAAAACCAACGAAAACGTGCGAAAAGTGGCAAAAAATGGTTGGATCAATGGGGCGATTAACGTTTCGAGAGTTTGCCGAAGGATTAAACATTTCATATGGGTCTGTAAAAAGAATTTTGATCGATAGCACAGACCCACAGAATAAAAAGATCGGTATGTGCCTGGGGTTCCACTATGTTTTCTCCATGTACGTATTCTCGCTGAACACTAATCTGAAGTTAGAGAGGTCGCTGGACATATGTTAGAGAAAACGCAAAGTGGTGGGTGCTGGGTGTCCACCTACAGTGCTGATTAAACGCGGCATTGACTATTATAGAGGCATGAATGCAGAGATGCATACCATCGAACAGCTTCTGTGGTGGTCAATATAGCGAGAAGTGTCCCGTTGAAGATCACATCGGTGTATGTCAGGTGTGGTACCAGGCTGCAGGAGGCGGACCTGGAAGTCCTTACGGACTACGCTAGTCCACTTATTGTGGCAGGAGACTTCAACTGCAAACATCGAGCATGGAATTCCAGGTTGAATTCCACGAGTGGGATTCGACTGTACAGCCATGTGATACGAAATGGGTACCTTGTACATAATACTGAGGAGCCGACACACCACCCATTCAATCAACTTCAGGCACCAGATGTCATTGACTGTGCGATATCTAAAAAATGTAGATACAGAATCTCTTCTCGAGACTTGTATGCTATCTTTAGTGATCATCTACCTCTTGTATTGGAGGTAGGAAATGAGCAGACTTCTGAGGAGGAAGCTCCTCCAAGGAAACGCATTGATTGGAAGCTATACAAATTGTTCCTTAGAGAGCTTCCCAATATTCCGATCATAGATGATGAGACTGGAATAGAAGCCGCTCAAGCGGAGTGGACAAGTTTCATTCAAACAGCTCTACAGCGTGCAGCTATACAACGACACGGCAGACCTTTTTTGCATGGGGACGTTCGTCAGAAAATCTCTGACAAAAGAGCCGCTATTAGGCAGGCAAAAAGGTCTTGTCATCCTGATGACATTCGTAGGGCTACAAATCTTGTCCATAAACTCCGCAACGAGCAATGGAGCGACTTTCTGGCGGGAATGATCGATTCAAGTATTCCTCTCTGGAGGGTCGCAAAGTCACTCAGAAACGGAAAGCGAGAACAACTCTTGCACATCCACGGTCCTGCAGGCATTGTCTTCAGAACGGAGGATAAGGTCGAGGATTTCGCTGATGCCATGGAGAAACAGTTCTCGCCCAATTATGATCTTGATCATGACCTCGACGAGAAACATCACATCGTACGATCCGTCAGGAGATATTTTAGGGCCAACGGCGTCAGCGGAGGCACTGAATCCTCTTCAGATGACTCTTCTTCAGAAGATTCGTCTGAGGCTCCACATAGCACCGGAACCCTCCGAGGTTCCACATTGCACATCAGTGGAGCTCCTAAGTCATACTAAAGACCTCAAGGTGCGTAAAGCACCTGGGGAGGATCTAATCACCAACAAGGCGTTGAAGCTGCTATCGCCGAAAGCCCTGACATATTTGGTGACAATAATCAATGCGACGCTTAGAATCCAGTACTTCCCTGCTGGGTGGAAGACTGATGAGGTCATCATGATTCCAAAGAAGGTGGATTCGGTATTTCCTCAGGATTACCGTCCCATAAGGCTGCTGTCAGCTCATTTTAAGCTCGCCGAAAAGGTGATTTATCGTCACCTTGAGAATTTTTCGTCGTATCACCACGTGATACCTGACGTTCAATTCTGTTTTCGGTCCGAGCATAGCACCGAGCTATAGGCAGTCAGGCTAGTGGAACATGTAACCAGAGGGTTCACCGTCAGCAAGAGTACTGGCATCTTGCTTTTGGATGTTTCAAAAGCCTTTGACAAGATGTGGCACGCGGGCCTCCTCCATAAACTAATCCAAAAAGGGTTTTCCCTTTTGGCTTCTAAAATTACTGAAATCTTTTCTTGAAGGAAGGAAGTTTCGGATCAAAATTAACAATGTTTTGTCAACAACACGGTCCTAGGGCTAATCCTTTATTCGCTTTTCATTCATGATGTCCCTTGCCCCAGCAACTGTGAAGTCTACCTCTCTGCTGATGTCACTGCACTTGTCGCCCAGTCGTGTACTGGTGATCTGGTTCACGATGGGTTGCAGAATGCGATTGACGAAGTACTAGAGTGGGCGAAACGGTGGCTGATAAAAATTAATCATTCGAAAACGCAGGCTATTTATTGCACCAAAAAACGTCGCGGCCCCCAGCAGAGGTTTCTGTCGACGGAAATCGTGTACCATGGACAATTTCTGCCAAGTATCTCAGTGTCACCCTTATTAAAGGCATGACCTGGCAGAAACACACAGCATCCATAAAAACAAAATTCCAAATTGCGTTTCGGCAACTATATCCTTTGTTATGTAGATCCTCCTAATTGAGTTTGATACACACGACTATATAAAATGATTATTAGACCAGTCATTACTTATGCATGTGCGGCTTGGTGTTTTCTTGCCAAGACCCACATGCAAAGTCTTCAAGTACTGCAAAGCAGAACCTTGCGGACAATTTGCAACGCTCGAATGGTATGTCTCAAATGAGACACTACACAGAGACCTTGACATTCCTTACTTGAGGCATTATGTCAAGCTTCAGACGCAGCGACGCTATAGTCAAGCGGAATCGCACAGCTACCTTCTGTTGCGTGACTCAGTGCACTACACAGTGGAGCAAGTTCGTAGGGATTCAAGGCCACAGCTCGCACTGTAATCAAAAGTTAGCACGAATTTTTAGTAAACTCAAAATTACACTCCAACAAAACCGAATAAAAAATTTGTTTAGTTCACCTCAAAATTAATCCTTGTACCAAGTCAAAAATCCTAGGTGTTTCCTCTTAAACTAAGCACATCTGTTTTTCTTTGCTCTTCTCCTTTTTTCTTCTCTTTCCCTTTCTCTTTTTTTTGACTATGTCTGGTTTCTGGGCAACCAGGACTGACAGATTCGACAAACGTATATTAGACAGTGAGTAATAGGCAAAGGTCCTACGGACCGCCCAGACAAACAAATGACGAATAGCTGCAGAATAATTGAATCCAGAGTTAAAGACGTTACGTTACTACATTTTCATAACTCTTCTCTCACAGATAGTTGCCAATAGAATGATTGTAACATTTAATATATCAGCCCCATGCTTTTTACTGTGAATTAAATTATTCTGTTAAAAACTTGAATTAATTTTTTAGTTCGATATATCAACTAGTTTTTTTTATTTTATTCTGTTAGAATTTATGATTGGATATTGTTTTCATGAGAATTAGGTCCTACTTTATCGACTGTAAAACCAAAGCTATGTAGGAACCGTAAGAAATAATCGGGACATATGCTCCCGGCACGGAGAAAGGTAACCGTGGATTATACTGACATACGTCTAGTTAATTGAAGTTACGGTCTTGTTTTTTTAATTCATATTCATTATTTGTATTTTAATCAATAGGACTTTATAATTACAAATTCTTTGATCTTATTAAATTCGTTCTATATCGACTATAAATTCAAAGCTTGGCTGTTTACCAAATTATGTTCCGCAAAATAAATAGATTTAAATTTATGTTTTGATCATTTTGTTGTGAATAAGACGTCTTTTGTGAATCACGGTTATCATATGAGGCCTTTATTTGCAAAACTTGCTATTTGCTCGAAAGACAATTTTTGGGAAATCGAAAAAAACGATCAACGGTCGAGTCGTGTTTACTGGCAATGTGGAGAATTTTATGAATATTGCTTAGAGTTTTTAGGAATGGAGATTAGGGGTTTCTAGCCTAAGATATTTTCAGATTTTTAGAAAAAAAATAATGTTTATTGCAAATAACCAGTTTTGCAAATAAATATCTAAATAAATTAGTTCAATAACTAACGTAAGGAATTTTATTCATGAAAATGAAACTGCAACATTTTAATAATATGAATAAAATGTGTAAGCGACAAAGATCTCAAAAGACTCATGCTCAAACGAAAAAACAGTCATTCTCGGCATTTTGGCAATTTTCCAAACTATCAACGGTTTCTTCTGGTGAGGCAGAAGCTGTCTTCAAGTGTTCTTTGTAAAAATTCAGTTCAGGAAGGCTTCTCCAATTTGCTCCGTAGTGGTTGGAAAGGAGAACATTGATAGTTGATTTATCCCCCTTTATTCCTTTTCCCAGTGGTAATTTCTCAGGAGCCATTGAAGGAAGGGAAAATTTTTTTTTACAAACGCTTTTAGCTTGTCCAACGTCACTGCAGTAATTGGGCTCACCTTTAACTAGAACATTTTTGTCTTTTCTGTAAAAAATAAACCGCTTTGCCTTATTGAATTCAAAGTGCCATGAACTAGGCAGCTTAATAACTCGTTTTGCTTGTGTTCTCCAATCAAACACATCCCAATCGATACCGATTTTCCGTATAGTAGAATGCTCTCTAATTAAATCATCGTAGTCACTAATTTCCACGATAACAGGCATTTTTTAATGTCTTTTTCTATAAGGCCGAAAATGCGATCAGGCGGAATAAAGGAATAACCGACGATCGGAAAAATCAATTCAATTTGTTTAATATGTTTCGGCGATTCTTCTAGGAGCCAGTAAGCCAACATTGCCATCATATTCGTATTTTTGTTTTGTCCGCCGCAACCATCAGCGAACAAACGTACTGTTTCTTTGCTGGGATGAAAATCAAAATTCTTTAGAGCATATTGCAAAGCTGATGCTATTGTATTAGAATCTTTGCGGGCGTCAATTTCTGTCCACAAGTAAGAAAACACATTTTTTGGTCTTAATTTATCTGTAGAAGTTCCAGCGACAACTGTAAAATTATTATAGTTGATTTGCTGGCTGAAATATGCTGCTTGATCAGGCAGTCTAGGCAGTGCCAAGTTTTTCTGGCAGTCGAATGAAAAGTAAGTTGTGTTTGGTTTTTGATTTTTTAGGAGTTTGAAAAAAGCCTTTGCTTTTGCGATATGAACACGATGCTCAGTGACTAACTTTTGACGAACATCTAAAGAAGTTGCTACTTTCAACTGCTCCTTTGTTCTCAAGCAAGTGGAGCAACAGTCAGTCAACGGAGTTCCAAAAGCGATGTTGTAGTTAGCATTCACATACTTTCGAAAATAACTAAGCTTCACATGCATAGGCTGAGGCACTCTCCGAAGATAATGGTCGAAAAGTTTCTTGAAATTCAAGTCACATGGCAGGTAGACCCTCACGCTTGTCTTGCTTCTACAGTAATGAGACTCGGTACATGTAATGGATTCAATAAATCTTTTGATGCAGTTTCTTGTTTCGTCATTTTTTGGACCCACTCTATTGCCACCTCTACGTTTCCTGGGTAGCTCCCCTGTGACAACAAAATTTCTTACAATTCTTTGTATGCGGTCTTTGCTTAAATTTGTGATTCCGAGAAATGATTTGGCACATACTCTAATCAACTCGCCCTCACTCAAACGTACATGGTATTTTATCGCCGGTGCAGCATGATTAGATTTTCCTGTTTTCGGACTTTGTCCCTTACAACAAGCCAATATTAGAAGGTCTTGTTTAATTTTATCTTTTGACTGATAAAGGTAGGCATGGAAATCTTTAATCTGCTTCATTGTGAGTGTGGTACAATAATAGGCCAATCCAGGTCGTCCATTATGACCACAAGTTGGAATGGTCGGCAGCGCTTTTGGTATATATCTGTAACGATACAACACAGGACTAGTAAACTTTGTCTGTAGCCCTACTCAACGTAAAGACATCGCGAAAAACAAGTAAAACTGCATAAAAAACTTGAATTGTCGCATAAGTCTAAAATCATAAGTTTAAGATGAAGCACTTACCTAGCAAGTTTATCAACATTCCTTTTATGTGTTTCTGGTTGAAGAAGTTTTTTGCGACCTTTTCCCTGTGGACTCTGTTTAACAGGAAAAATATTTTCACCTACTAACTCCATAAAAATAAACAATTGTTCCTAATTCGTGAAATGTTTAGTCGCTTGAATACAAACTACTGAAAATCCGTTGCTTGTGAACAGCTGTTGTAATAGCGTGTTCGTCACGTGAATCAACGGGCAAATTTTATTGGTGGCAGAGCAAGCAGCGAGTTTTGCAAGTAAAACGTCAAAGCAGTATTTACATGCTAAAGAGAGAGTTTTGAGAAGTTCTGATTTCATCATTCGATTCCTCTTTAAAATTGAGCAAAAAAAAGAAATTTCTAAGATTTTGTCGATTAGCAAGTTTTGCGAATAATGGCCTCATATATAATATATTATATCAATATTATTAAGAGTAATTCGCGTGTATTAGACTCATTAGTACCTACGCATGTATAAGCAATGAACAACCTTGAAAAAGATTCTGCCTCGTTAGTGCTGTGCCGATTGCCCAAATCAACAAAGAGTAAGTTCGAAACTGCACGCATGCGCAAATCGCGCGCTAGCTCTATCTCCCGTACTCCTCTACAGACAATCTATAAAAGAATTTATCAATCCTGGCTGTCCTAATAAGGATAATGGAAAACTGTTATCAAATTATTGCATTGTCATCGGTCCTCGATATGCGTGCGAAGTTTCAAGTTAATTAAACTTCTAGAAATTGGTGAAAATTAAGCTCAAAGATTCCGTTACATACATACACACATACATACAGGCCAAGCTTATAATAAAAAAAGCGTCTAAATAAAAATAAGAAAGCATGTTAAAAATAGCATAGTATAGCTTGATTTTGAGTATTTCCAAAAATTATGTGTTTGCTCTCAAGTTCTCAAAAATAATTTCTTGCTTGGAAAGGTACGTAAGTCTTTTAAGGTCGCACATATAGACCTCCCTATCATCTTACATACATTTCGGGTCTTAAAATACATCCCACATGAAACACCAAAATAATGATTCTGTTTCTCGACAAGAGTAGCGAAATAAAGAAGACTTGAAGGCCGCCTTTCTCCTTGAGGAAATTACTTGACAGTTCGCCTACCACCTTCGAGTGTCAAAATTGTCAAATCAATCAAGACCTTCTTTCGACAGAAATGTTTTAATTGAAGGAACGACTACATATTCAATTATTATTAGACAGTAGTAGGGGACACCGGGGCGGGGCAGGGTACCGGGGCAGAACGGTTTGCATACCATATTTCTCACTGTAAAGGCTAGATGTTACTAGCGCTCTCTGTTATCGTTTAGTAGAACGCCACGCATCGGTCGGCAACAATGAACAGATTACAGCAAACAGTTCAAAGTGTTTTTGGCCAAACGTAATGAATTTGTGCATGTGGATATAACTTTTCAGGATTTTTAATACAATGTAAGTTATTTAATTATTTGTTTTGGCGTTTTTTGTTCATTTAACTGTACACGGCATGTGTACAAGTATCTTTTGGCATATTCACGACAAAATATTAATAAAGCGTTTCTATGCAAAGGTTGTGTTTTGTTATGAGTAGTTTGTGGGGCAGAACGGTGTGAGGCAGAACGGGTTGGGACCCCATTCTGCCCCTTATTATCAACGATCTCATTTTGATGCCTTGTGTTGCTTTCAGATGGTTCGCAATTATATTAGAAAGACCGATCGGCAACGGTGGAGTTCTGAAACTATGGAACGAGCTGTAGCTGCAGTAGTAAGTGGCGTAATGGGATGCAAGAAAGCTTCAATTCAATTCCAGCTTCCACAAACTACATTGGAAAGATACGTGAAAAAGCGTAGGACTGACCCAAATTCTGTGATTGATAAAACCGCTGGCAAATATCACTGTGTTTTACTCAAGAGCAAGAGGTAGAACTAGTTGTATATTTAAAGGATATTCAAAAGAGATTGTTTGGTTTAACATTAAAAGAACTCAGAAAGCTAGCCTATCAATTAGCGGTTAGGAATGGTTGTGAGCATCCATTTAACAAAGATACAGAAATGGCGGGAGAAGACTGGGCCCACTCATTTATGAGGATTCATTCAGAGTTAAGTTTGAGGAAGCCTGAGGCCACTTCTGGAGCACGTGCCATGGGATTTAACCGAGTAGCAGTCGCGCAGTTCTTTACATTATTAAATAAAGTTATTATTGAGAAAAAAATTACCTGTGAAAGAATTTATAATTGCGATGAGACTGGCATTACAGTGATTCCAAAGCAGCATTCAAGGGTTATTGCAAATAGAGGAAAACGTCAGGTAGGCGTATTGACTTCTGCTGAGCGTGGCAATACAGTAACGGCAGAAATTTGTTGCTCTGCTGCGGGAAATTTCATGCGCCCCCTGTTGATTTTCCCGCGACAAAAGAAGAGACAAGAATATGAATTGGGCTTGCCACCTGGAGCTTGGATTGCGGCAAATGACTCTGGATGGATGACTATGGAAGTGTTTTTCGAATGGTTCAAGCAGTTTATTAAATTTTCTGGTGCAAAAAAGAAACTCCCGTGCTCTTACTATTTGATTTTCCCGCGACAAAAGAAGAGACAAGAATTTGAATTGGGCTTGCCACCTGGAGCTTGAATTGCGGCAAATGACTCTGGATGGATGACTATGGAAGTGTTTTTCGAATGGTTCAAGAAGTTTATTAAATTTTCTGGTGCAAAAAAAGAAACTCCCGTGCTCTTACTATTTGATGGACATGCATCTCATACGAAAAACATCGATGTAATAGATCTGGCTCGAGATAATGGCGTTATTTTATTATGTTTCCCACCGCACTGTTCGCACAGGCTCCAGCCTCTAGATGTGGCATTTATGAGACCTTTAAGTCTATACTACGAAGATGAAGTGCGAAGATGGTTGCGGTCAAACCCAGGTAAGGTTGTTACTTTATTTCAAATTTCAACCTTGTTTGGACAAGCTTTTATTAACGCCGCTAATATGAAAACTTCACTGACGATGACTTTTTACCAGCCGAGACAACTAATATTCCCATTGCTGAGACAGAAATTGCCCATACTTAAGTAACTCAAGTCGATGATTTTCCAGAAAATAATTCCTTCAATGATCCCTCAACCCCACCTCCCAGAGAACTAAAGGAAACTAGCAACGAAACTCAAAATGGCTCTTTACTCTGGATGTCTGACACTCCTATTGCACCAATAAAAAAAGTGATCACCTCTAGTTATCCAGCCGTTCCTCCGGAAGCTTTTATGCCAGTACCAAAACTAACGGCAACCGTTAAGCGAGTGCAGAGAAAGAGAGGCAAAACCACTATTATTACAGAGTCACCGTATAAAGCAGAGTTGACTGAGGCATTAGAAAAATCAAAGAAAAACAAAGTAAAAAAAAATCTTTCAGGTCAGAAGCAGAAGAGGGAAACAGAAAAGATGTCTCAACCAAAAAAGCCAAAGGTAATAGAAGCTAGAGTAAGCTCCGAGGAGGAAGAAGGAGAAGACACATTATGTTTATTCTATAACGACCAATATTCAACATCAACCGAAGGTTGGATTTCTTGCATTCAGTGTAAAAAGTGGGCTCATTACTCTTGTGCGGGAATAGATGGTAACGACGATGAGTCAGAACTGATTTGTGACATTTGTAAACCCGAGTACCCCATCGTGCCCCGCCGACGAGGCAGAATGGAGTAAAAGACACTTTTTGTTTAAGTCGATGACATAAAAAAACTGTTAGCCTTATTTTCATATTTGTTTGTGTTTTCATGTTTATGATACCTCATTAGATCATTATGTACCTTTTTAAATTTCTGTAACATCATTTACCCACCCAAACTTGAAATTGAATGTTTTTTCCTCCCCGATCTCCCCTACCTAAGGGTTACATTTATAGATGTTCTTTGAGAGTCGAGTGCCGTTTTAAAAATGGTCTTGAATTTTAAGTAAACAAGACCGCTTTCTCACGGATTGTTCCCAGGAGTTTTCAACATTTGCATTTTACCGCAGGTTGTAGGTAACAGGTGTCATCACAGCTTTTCAGAACTTGGAAAAATTTTAGAATAGTGAAATTTCCACGAATTTTTGACATTTTAGTAATATTAAATACCAAAATTTTTAGGATACCAATTAAAAATTACATTGTAGAAAATATTGAAAAAATTGACAATTTTGAAAATTATAATTACCAAAACTTTTGAATTCACTCAATTTCACAAATTTCAGAATATTGGAAATTTTCATATCACCTAAAGCTTTCAAAGAATTTTTAAGATCTCGAAATTTTCAAAATTTAAAAAATTAAAAAATATTTATATTTATCAAAATCCTCAAAAATTAAAAAAAAAATATATATTATGAGTATAATATAAAATATTGACAATGCCGAAAAGTGCATATTTCAAAAAATTTCAACACTTGAATGCCTGAAATGACAACTAAAGTCTGTTTTGAGCATTTCTGAAGGAAGCGTTATTGTTTTCTTAATTCCAAGGAGAATTCATTTCTCAAACGACACTCGTTTCTCAAGGATCATCTATAGATTTAACCCTAAGCATTTTTGTAGTTGCGACAAGATATCGAAAATGGGATGTTGTGGTTTTTGCATGTTATTTATGATATATACACCATATCACTTATTTCCGTCTGTGTGACAGTCTGTCTATCTGGTAGACTGTGAACTGCTTATAACTTGGAAGGTACCGATTGAATTTTTGATAAAATTTTGACACAAGGTTACTACTATACCAATCACGAAAAACTTTTGAAGTTTTTTTTTGTTTAGTGGCTGAGGACAAAGAAAGGAAAACACCTAGGTACGTATGTTTATCAGATTTCATTAATTTTTGGCACATATGTTCAGTGTCCCTTACTAGTTAAATGATTAAATTTCCAGCTTGATTTATCACCAAACTGCAGAACCTGGTTCAGTTATGTGTTGATGATCCACTATATCTTATACACTCATTGACATGACTGGGCATCGTGCTGATAAGGTGGTCGATATCCTCATCCCAGGCTGCTGCAACTTTGTGAGTAAGAGCTGCTAAACTCTGTGGAGGGTGTTGCAAATTGAAGAGCCTACGACCTATCATGCCCAAAAAAGTTCAATTGGAGATAGGTCAGGCGATCGTGGTGGCCAAGGTAAACGGTTGATTCGATGTTGATCCATGAAGGCTGGCACTGTCTTGCTGAAAATCGGTAGATGGTGTTTAGGTATGGAATAAGATGAGGCTCCACTACTTCCTAAATATAGCGTTAGGCTGTTATATCGCCTCTGATGAAAATTAGTGGTGATCTACTACCAATAGCACCCCAAACCATAACTGCCACGGTGTGATGAACGTGACGCTCTCTGTCAAATTGTGATACCCGATTTATAGGGTTATTACGTAAAATACCTGAGTAATGTAAGGAAAAAAAATCGGTAAAACGTCAGCTATGGCACTCGGTAGTCAACTGGTGTGCAGCTAGTTCATTACGTGCCGACTACCGTCGGCCTCTGCTGCTCGACTGGGTCTGGACCGTCAATCGTCATCCATGCCGGATGTACACATACTTCCGATCATGTGTGATCGTAGGAATCTTCCTCAGAAGAAGGGGTAGCGTTATTCATCGGCAAGAGATATTTTTGAGTGGTAGCGTAGCTAACACCAAAACCTTTTGAAGAGCAAGGTGTAGCATATTTTACCATGGAGCCAAATCCTGAAGAGCCCCAAAACTGAGCAGAAAAGCATGCTGAATATCCAAATTTTGATTGTATGAGCCTTTGCGGTTAACTTGATCCGTTTAATTTTTTGTTAAACACACCCTTGACTAACATTTTTCTCAAAGGTTTCACCTTGTGTCAGATATAATACTTTATGTACTGATGAAAGCGTTGCATTTGAAGTGTAGAATCAATCTACTTGACGACATTCAAAGTAACACCCATTACCGTTCAGTCATTCAAAATAATCCACATCACTGCAAAGTATGATGTTCAACTTAAAAAAATTGACTTGACTTTGACCATAACCTTCAAGGTCATGGTCAAAGTCAAATCCATGTTTACCTCTGCCCACTCTTGAATAAGTCTTAACAGCAGTATGTGTTACTTCTTCTCTGTCAACATTACAATCTATAATCATTGTATCCTAAATCTATCAATAGCCCCTAAATGGGGGTTTTTCAGTTCTATAGGAGGTCTGGGAGGGGTTTACTGACCATGGCCTTCAAATGTATGGAGAAATATATAACGTGTGAAATATTGTGAGATAGGTGCATAGAATTACTGGGGTTGGAAGCGTGTAAATATACTATATCTTCCGTCATCCCATACAAGCTCCAACCCTCAATTTTCAACTCTACAAGAATTTTTCTGAATATAACCAGGTGCCTCTAAAACACCAAAAAACGATGTTTACGCAATTTTTATTCTTATCATTTTTTGTCTGTAGCTCTGCCTCCACAAGATAGATTTTCAGAAACTAACAAAAAATCATCAAAATTCGAGCGGTATCTTTCAACGATTAGCGGACCAACAGACAGACCGATTGAACTTCTTGCAACATTCAAATAATAATAATACTACTAATAGCGCCCCTTATTTGCAGTACATGAGAGAGACAAAGATAGCGAAGCTAAGCCTAGGCTACTCTTACACTTAACTATTTTCGTCAGTCCATTTAGAGCACAATATAATGTGCGCTGTCTAAAATATTTCATCAGAAAGAAAATTGGAGTTATAACTAACTAAACTAAACTATAAACTAAAATACACCACAACTATATACAGTATGTACACGTATGCCCAAATATAAATATAGATACACATATACACATAAAATATTCACATTATATATATATACATGACAGAGATATTAAGTAGACCAATATCAGGTCAGGGTAAATACAAATTGTTTTATTTGTTTCCTTGTATTTA